GATGATATTGGTGCATATGTTATTACAGGTGTTTATTCACCAAGTACTCTACGAATGGGCCTTGAAAAACATTATCAACTAGGAACAGGAAATCCATCCGAAAACTTAGGTCACAAAGTGACAATTCAAGTAGAATGGGACGCTTCGAATCAGCAATTTATTGGTAAATATTATCTTCGAACGTCTAAACATCGCGATCAAAATACGTTTATATTGAAATTAAAAAGTATTAAAAGTTTTCATTCACATACAATTGAATCTTATGTATAACTACCACAAATGTACAAATTTTAATTTCTATAATATATGTATATTTCTTTACTCTGTACAAAACAACCAAATAAATAAGACAAAAAAAATTTATAACAAAAATATATTCACAAAGTCGTTACATTTTGAAGAACACATTCTTTATTTATTGTTTGATTATCATCTGTATTGACTAAAACAATTTTGAGTACATGCTGTTGATTATTTAATTGTTGTCTTAAAAGACTATTTTCATTACTTGCTGCCGTACCAGTTGATGATGATAATGATAAAGTTGCTTTTAATTGTCGTTTTTTTTGAACAGTTGTTTTTAATTTATTTTTTTCTTTTCTTGATTCTGTTGAACTTAAAAATTGTACTTTATCAATTAAGAATGTTTTAAACTTTTGTGGTCGTTTAAGTTTTTTATTTGATATTCGAATTTTTTTAATAAATTCTAATTCAGTTTCATTACTACCATTACGTTCATCACTAATTCGAACTACACATGATGATGCATCATCTTCTACGATTTTTTTATTTTTTGTTAATTTTTTTAATTTATTTATTTGTATTGATGAAAATAATTCGGAATGTCGATAAGTATCAACTCGTGAATAAATACCATTATGTACAACAGTTGATGGATCATTTGATGGTTGTAATTCAATATTTGCCATTGGTAACATTAATGAACTTTGTTTAACATTCCAGAAAACCCCTCGGCCACATGTAAATATTCCTTTAATAAGTGAAATAAATTTCCGTCGAAATAATTTTCCGGATAATGAATATAATAAACAATTTGTTGATGAATTAAATAAATCAGGAAAAAGAAAATAAACTAAGGATTTTTTTATTTCAGGACATTCTGTTATTGCAACAACATATAATGTTTGACAATAATACATTGTTAATAGTATTGGTATACCCCATGATATTGTAATAACAGAAAAACTTTCAATTAATATAACAAGAAATGCACGTAAATCATTTTGTATACGACGTTTACGACGATTTTTTTGTGATTTTTGTTTTAAATATTTTAAACTTTTGGAAAAATAAATCACTTTTAATGATAAAACATTGGCAAGAAAAACAATAAATGATGGTAATGCATTACCAAGAAATATTGCTAATGTATGACGATTCAAACCAAATGATATTGAATGAAGAAAATCAAATAATTTCAAACAAATTGAATATGCCATTGTTATATGACATGAACGTTTTTCAAATAATTTGATTATTAAATCAGGTGTTCTAGCTTGTACAAGATGTTGAGTTAAAACAGAAGTGTTTGTTAAATAGTAATTATCATCATATATATTTGTTAATATATTACTGATGCTGTCAGTTACTCTTGTATTACGACTGGAAAGAAATGATTGAGTTAATGAATGAAATTCTGATAAAACTTCTGTTGTTGAACAATTATACTAAACAAAAAATTAAATATTACACGTTAGATTTTTTTCTACTGACAAGTTATTTTAATTAAACATAAATTTTTATTGATATATGCTAGGAGATAATATTTCAACAATAAAAATAGTGATTACGCTTTGATGTAAACAATGAAGTATTTATCTATACAGTTTGATATGTAATCTACAGATGAAGATATTTTAAAAAAATTTCTATCTTGTATCTATTATTAAAGATTCTTTTATGATAGTCTCCGATATATCATTTATCTATTTTTAAATGATAAATTAAATATACATAATTAGTATATTATTTCTATTTTCTTATACATATAATATATTAAAATAAATTCTAGTCTATTCTTTAACTGAAGATGCTTCGAATGGAATCATCGAGTACTATGAAAATTTTCTATTCATTTATAGTCATGACTTTTAGCTTTTGATTAAGTTGTCTATCATAGAAAACGCATACTTAATTTTGAAGGATTACTTCTCTATAATTAACTTGTTTTATCGCCCATCTTTTTCTGACGAGTTTTTCTAGATATGAAGATAGATATTAATGAAATTTGAATGTAGAATATATTTTCCATGATAAAGTAAAAGAGTTTATGTAAATACTAAAAGTAGTATTTTAATCTTTTACTTTTTCAAATGGAATGAATACTTAAAATAGTTAACAATATGTTATATATAAAAAATGGTTTTTCATAGTTTCAAGTACTTTTCTATACGATTAGAACAATATTTGGAAGATAAAAGATCTAAGAACTTTTCAACTTTTATTCATAGATCTTATAAATTAATAATTGATTCATATATCTAAGGGTCTAAGTTATTTTTGCTTTGAACAATTCAATTAAAATTCTCATTATTTAATGATAATAAAAGTAGCTATTCAATTTTTGATTAGTTATATATATAATTTTAATTCTAGAAGATTGACAAATGAAGTAAATTAATTTTAAACCCATGTATGGTTCTGTCATAAACAATGTGTTTTCTTGTTGTAGATTCCATCTAGAGAGCTACGGCTCTTGAAACTTTCTAAGAATGCCTTACGTCTGCGTATAGTGAAAAAAACGGATTAATTTAGACTTAAACCTCAAAACCTGATGATCTGCCAGAAATAACTTCCAAGCTGTTCAAAATGAAATTAATTAAACACAGCATGTGTTCATAAGTCAAGAGGTATATAATAGTAATCCTTTCCATCAAAATCAGCTTGAAAATATATAAATAGAAATCGACTTCGCAAAAAAACTAGGTCTACCGTTAGTGCGTAATTAAAGCTTTTTGGTCGTCTGCCCTGAATAAAAGAAGTTTACTGGAACTATTTTTAGATAGTTTTGTAGCATTTTTCACGCTCTATCTTTTACTCGTTTTGGCTTTTAAAAAGTATGTTCCTTATCCCCTCTACGATCGTTTTAAATTGAATCAACGCTTTGTTTGTAAATGTTTTCCTCAAATACAAACAAAGTGAATAGAGAATTAAATTCTGCACAAAACGTGCTATTCCATTTTTCCTGTTTGGTTTCTTCAAAAATCTCCTTTTCTATTTATAACGCATCGAAGAAAATGAATTTTTGGACTTGTCACTATCACATCTCAACCGGATGATGAGTTATCGTGCTGAGATTTTTTTTAGTAGTGGGAGATATAGTAAGGAATGTGAGAAACTCGAATCACAGAAAAAAAGGTTGAAAAGTACAATTGTACAATAAAGTTACGATTCACTCATATATATCTGATCATTAGAAGAATATCTCTTAGCATATATTATTAAATTGGAATAAAAGCTTTTATTATTTTACTATTAGAAATTTATGATAAGAAGAAAAATGATAAAGTACATTTTTTTGTTACATATTGTAACTACTAAATCATATCTAACGGATCTAAATTCTATTTTTATTTCTGAAGACGTTTTCTTCTCTCATAGTTTGATAAATCGGAAAAATAGTCGTTAATTTCTTTTGGGCATATTGACTTTTTGTAATATTATCTGTCACTAATCATATTCAGTTCTCGTCTTCATCAGAGTAAATCTGAGTCGAACTTCCGGAGATTATAGTGAAAAAGATATTTATATTATCCTATGTATCACATAGTTTCAGTTATTCGAATATCTGAAAAAAATCATTAAAATTTTTTTTTCTTATAGAAATTTTTCGTTCGAAACTTAAGAACAAGTAGATTTCTTACTCTACAATATAAATAAAATGACTTTTAGTACAAATATATCTATGTCATCGCCTGACGTCTTCTTCAAATGTAATAAATTAATTAAGAGTTCATACAATAAATATATATATATATATCAATTCTTTTGTTATTACTTCACTCAGTGTTTTAAATAATTAACTATGTTAAATTAATTTAAACTTTTGTTTTCTTCTTCGACTTCTACAATTATCTATCATGCAATTATTTCTCACTGAAATAAATCTAAAATTTTTATACCTCATTAAATGTTAATATTGTAGTATTATATGGATTGATATCTAATGATTGAATAAGACAATAATATTTATCTATTGATTCATTATAATGATTATTTAGATAATTTGAATAAAATTCTTTTGAAAATTTTGTATTCATTATTGATTGAAATATTTCTATATAAACATCGGAATCGGTTGATTTATTACATTGTACACTAATCCATTCGAAACAAGTTATCAATGAAGCAATAAGTATACTCATTAAACATGCAAGTAAAGCACAAAATCGTGATTCATGATATGATAAAGAGAAGAATGTTCGAGAACGTTGTATACTTAATATTGCAAGTAAAATTGTTGATGCACGTGTCCATAAAACTTTATAAAGCATCCATTCAAGACAAAATTTACCCATAAATGTATAAATAATTTCAGTTACACCATGAATTATCTTTCCATTAAACATACATAATGTTGATGATTTATCAGTCATTGTTGATTCACGATCAATCATTTCAGTATAACCAATTAATAATGTTGTTGAATCACTTATTAATAAACAAATAAAATAAATAGCAATAGGTTTATGTATAAATGTTTTCGAACAAAATACAATAATACAAAGTATATTTGATATTAAACTTAAGAAATGTATTAAAGGCATTATTAAACACCATAGTAATGTCGGACTAGTAAATATATTTGATGATGTTTGTGTATTATTATTAATTTCATACATCGACATTGCTTGTGTTTTTTTGTATAATAAAAATAACGTGTATTGTTTTTCCAAAATACTGTCAAGTATTCAATGTTATCTATAGATAAAAAAAAAGAACGTGTTAAATTTACTAGTTACTAATCTAAAAACAAAGAACATCTAAGCACTTCATTATAATAATCTACTTTTTTTTTAACTAGTCTATAAAAGAACATCCATTAAAATAATATCAAAACATGTAATTCGCCTTTTTCCATGAAAATATTTATCTTCTTTTAACCTTAATATATATACATAACAAATCCTTCTTTATTTTTTTCTATATACATCAATTGCTTTCACTACTAAGATGTTTATGTTTTTAGTCTTATCGAATTGCACATCATTTTAGATCAAATTATCTCTAGATTGTATCTCAAGGGATAACACTTATGATTATCAAACTAAAACATGCATACATATCTTAATCTATAGTAAGGTTCACTGAATATATTGACTGAGATATAAGGCAAAGAAGTACAACGATACAGTACTTTTGAGAACCACAACATCGATACTTATACAGGAAACTAGAACTATGTAATATGACGAGAAAACAAGGCATTTCCAGTGGTTATATAGAAAATGACGACGATGAGTACTTATGAGCGGATGCTTATATATATAAGCGTGGTTGTAGATGCACCGATCTTCTAGTGATAATTAGACATGAAATGAAAAAATGCATACTCATTGATTACACACGAGCGAGTCTAGAATGATATATCATTCTTTTCCTTTTAATATTTTTACATAATTTATAAATGATAAAAGAACTACGAATCTTTTTCTGCTTGTACTTGAAAATATTAAGAGAAGAAAACTGAGAGTTCGTCTCATTTTTTTTTTCTTCTCTCGATGTGTGCATATCTATCTATCTAATAAGCTAGAACACCACAACATAGAAAAGAGTAAGTTAGACTTCTATTATCATCTAACTACATTAATATTTTATATTATTATGAAAAAAGTAAAAATACAAAAGTTTTAAAAGGAAAAAAAATGATTTCGAATATGGAAGAGTTCAGATTATTTACAGACCAATAAATAATTGCTATTCATAACAATGTCATTCTGAATATTTTCCACATCTAGGTTTTTTTTTTTTGACAAAATTTTATTTGTATGAAACTTATTAGCATAGCAGACGTCTACTGAATATATCATCGATATAATAACATACGTCAATAAAGATTTTCTATTCTTAACGCTAATACAAAAATTGCACTTGACTTAAAATGATCTGGAAATAATCGATTGGCAAAATAACAACGAGGGAATAATTGAAAAACACAAAAAGGATTAAAACATTAATTATAAAATAAATCTATTATCGATATATATATATATATTCTATAAGGATTATTACTTACCATATGTTTTCATTCGAATGAATCAAGCTGTGAAAAAAAAAGGTTTTAAGACCATATGGAAGATATCTCTTAACTGTCATCCTAATAAAACTGACAATACAAAAATATTTGTTTATTTATTAATTGCCCTAAATAGATATGTATATATATATATACATTGATTAATCAATAATAAATTATTTATAAACGAATAAAAATGTTCAAAAATATAAACTATTTATTGTTATAATACCAAAAAAAAGGTTCTGATATTTTTTAATGTATTCATATGACATTTATGCTCTGTGAAAATGTGTTTAGAAAGACGTTTTTATACTCTTAATGATCCGAAATAATAAATGACAGGTCATATCAAGAGATTATCGGTTTGATTCTAATTGACAATCTATATTGTATGGATTATATCAAGTAGTATAGAATAACGTCAAAAAAATATTTTTTTCAGGTTATAAACATAATCAAAAGAGGAAGTCTGTCTACTTCTCTCTTAACCCAACAAACTATGTCTAGTATGCAATTACAATCAAATACTCTTGTTCTTATCTTATGACTGTCAGAAAGTCTAATTGAAAAAAAAAAAAGCAATTAGGTATGCAACAATATTGTCTGACGTATATTATTTTCCTTATAAAAAAAATTATATAGATATTATTCGAAAATAATAGAGTTAAATGTGCATAAAAGTTCTCAAAGAACGGAATATTTTTTTTTGAATAAATTACTTCGACCATAAATAATGTTTTTTATGAACGAGACTATTTTAGAAATAGTTCTGCTTTGTTTTTACTTTATCGTATATTTACTGTTATTCAAAGAAAGAAAGAAATGTGTTAGACTGAAATTTATTATTTTATCAAATCGCAAAAGATTGTCTTCTAGTTCCAGGTCATGTGTAATAATTATTCATATTATAAACTTAGTTACTCATTGACTGTTGTGTGTTAACCCCTAGATCATTATAATAAAAGATGTGAGAATAAATAGTAAAGCTAATAATTTTAAACTTATCATAATCGAAATAGTTCGGTATTTTTGTATTAAATTATCTCTGTTTCTTTTCTTGCAGTCTGCGTTTTATGATTATAATGAAAAAAAATTATTGAACTTACCGTTTATTAAATTTGCACTTCTATCAAATATAATTATATAACGGGAATGAAAATTGAAAACTGAGAATATTTTGCATTTGCTTTGAAAAAGAAGAGAAATTTATCTGATATATAGGTAAATGAATTTACTGTCGATTAGTTTTAATAAATGGGATATTATTTTTCTTAAGAAAAAAAAAGACGGAAAGAAAATTACTATGCCTGATATCTTTAATTCATAAGAGCTTAATTGTAAAACTACAAAATTTGTCTAGCGGTATGATTTTAGAAACAAACAGATGATGGAATCAAAGAAAAATTGATAAATTACATAGAAATATGATCAAACGATAAAATTTCTATTCATTCATCTATTGAAAGACTATAATTGAATGATATTTATTCTAGACAAAAACTAGGTACAAGAATGTTAAAAATAGAAGTAATATTATCTGATCAGGGAGCATATTTTCTTATAACTACTTCTATTACTTAACTATATAAATGATAAAATTTTTGAATCAAAGGTTTGCATGACATACCCAATTTGTAAGCAATTAACATGACAAAACAAATAATTCTGAGACAAAGTACTCATTTTAATATAATGATATTTAGAATGTTTTTCTCTTAACTATCACGTAAAAAACTCGTCTTAGACGTGCTGTATTAGCTACATTCAATAAATTGCGAACTTCTCATAGCCATAAATGTAGTCTTCTGTTTACTCTCAGGTATTTATATTTCTTTATTATTAAACACCAGTCTTCCTAGGTCATGAGAACCTTGTCTACACGGTTGTACTCGAAAATTATATGTAGTTTCTTTATGCATGCACAAGATAGCGATAAGCTACTTTTGTGCTCGACTAAATATACATACTACTTTTAAAGAATATTGAGGCAACGGCTCATATAGAAATGCAATCCAAAAAGATAGTACTACCCATGTAATTACTAGAAAGAGTTAGTAAAATTAATAATTTTTGATTGTTGATAATATATTTACTTACAGCATACGAAGAAATCTTTGATATGTAGTTGATTATGAGAATAAGTAATATATTAAAAAAAACGATGCCTTAAACAAGTCGGGGAAAACTACGTCAATAAAAATTTTTCATTAACTTAATTTGATAATTTTTTAAACCGGTTAAACTTGAAGACGTTCATGACATTATTGTTATCTATAGTACGAATATTTAACTTACTTCTTTTTTTTAGTAATTATATATTTCTTACAGTCAGTTTCTCTAGACAAAATAAATTAGTTTAGTCATGAGACTATATTCAAAAATAGTGTCCGCCCATGACAAACGTTATACTCTAATAAACTTGTCATTTCTTTAGGATGTGAAATAGAAATATTATATATATTTTCAGTTTTAACTATCTAAAAAAAGTCATAAGATTATATTAATAGAGAGTTGCGCAGTTCATTCCTATAGACTTAGATTATTTCTTCTCTCCATGAGTAAATATATTCTAAAAATATGTTTTTTTCACCTCATATATTCAAAATTGGCCTAATTATATCGAAATATTTTAATATATCTAATAACGTCAAATATAAGACTCAGCTATTTGTAGAAGAGTATGTTTACATATATCTTAATTTAAACGATAAATGTATGCCAAAGTGTAATATTTCAAATATTAATCTTAATCTCTAGGTAATATATAGAATGAAGTTATTGCACTGGAAGAAAAGAAATACTATTTCATTCTTACTGTTTTGATACATCAAAAAAGAAAAGCCGCATAGAATTGAATCGAAAAATGACATAAGCCAGATTTTATTTCTATTTTTTATTTCATTACAAACAAACCTAACAATCGCATCATATTTCTTACCTAGATGTAATTTTTTTTTATTATAATCATTACATACATACTGTATTTATAGACTAAAAATAAAAATCTACGACACCTGACATATACTTGTCCTAATTTTTAAGTATAGAAGTTTCTTCTTACATCCTGAAGAACTAATCATACTATGCTGTTATTCTATACTTCAAACATTCATTAGCGTTATAATTATGCTGGAATGTCTGTTTTTTGATCAAGATAAAAATAGAAACAGTGTATATATAGCCTAGATATTTTTTGTCTAATTTTCAAAAAGTCGAAAGACAAATTATGTTAAACAAAATAGTATTTGTGCTAGATTTATTATGAAGATTGATTTCATTTCTATCATCAAGTTGTTTCTATATAATAAATCTTTATAATGTATACATTGAAAAAAATAGATAGATATATGGAGAATCATTTGTAGAAGAAATATTTTTTTAGCAAGAATATGACAGATTGTGCATCTTATCTCTTACCTTATCATCATTGAATATGAGGTGAAAGAAGATTGATAAATTCTAATTTCTGCTGCATGCAATATCATATGAGATCTATGATTTAAGGAAAAAGGATTAAGTCAATTAAAATACATTGCTGATGTATTGATTAAATTTGAAAAATGAATCATTTGATAAATCTCAAGAGAAATAAAGCTGACTAACTTAGTT